GTTGGTGGGTGATGGTGGTGGTGGGTGATGGTGGTGGGTGATGGTGGTGGTGGGTGATGGTGGTGGGTGATGGTGGTGGTGGGTGATGGGGGTGGGTGATGGTGGTGGTGGGTGATGGTGGGTGGGTGATGGGGGTGGTGGGTGATGGAGGTGGGCGGGTGATGCCGGAGCAATGAGTGAGTGATGCTGACAGTGGGTAAGTGATGCCAGTGACGCCAGGCAGGCGATGCCAGTGGTGCCAGTGGGTGATGCCAGCACTGCCACCACCCCGCTGTGACCCCACTGTCACTGCCCCATGACAGGAGCACTGGGAGGATGAGCAGGGTGCCCCGGTGAGCCGGGAGCTGCTGCTGCTGGTGCTGCAGGATCTGGAGGGCATCTTCATCCGGGCGGTGTACGACGGGCGCATGGCCAGCGTGGGGCTCAGCGACGTGGCCATGGATGTCACCAGCGCCGGGGACACCGGCCTGGGGCCAGCTGGCAATGTTGAGGAGTGCAGGTGACTACTGACGGCAAGGTCACGGGCTCGGTGCCACCGCTGCTGTGATGCCACGATGCCACCATCTCCCCGCTGTGTCCCCAGGTGCCCCGTGGGCTACACGGGGCTGTCGTGCCAGCGCTGTGCCCCCCGCTTCGAGCGGGTGACCAGGGGACCCTACCTGGGGACCTGCTCCGGCTGCGGCTGCCACGGCCACTCCAGCACCTGCGACCCCGTGTTTGGGCACTGCCTGGTAAGGGGCAGGGGGGCTGATGGGGTGACAGAGGGACAGGGATGTGGCACAGTGGCACGGTGCCACCACCCCCCTGTGACACGTGTGTGTGTCCCCCAGAACTGCCAGCACAACACAGAGGGGCCACAGTGCGAGAAGTGCAGACCCGGCTTCTTCGGCGATGCCACCAAGGGCACGGCCACTGCCTGCCACCCCTGTCCCTGTCCCTACACAGAGCCCTCACGCAGGTGGGTGACAATCCCAGGGACCCCTGAGTGCCACCCCCAGGGACCCCCCCAGTGCCACTCCCGGGGACCCCCTCAGTGCCACTGCCCCAGTGACACCTCTCCTTGTGGAGGAGAACTGGAGGAGGCACTGGCCCGTACTGGGAGCACTGAGAGCTCTCCAAAAACATCCCCAACCCCCATACTGGTCTGTACTGGTCCATATTGATCCATACTGGTCCATACTGGTCCTTCCTGGTCCATATTGGTCCATACTGGTCCGTACTGGTCCATACTGGTCCATACTGATCCGTACTGGTCCATATTGATCCATACTGGTCCTTACTGGTCCATATTGATCCATACTGGTCCATACTGGTCCTTCCTGGTCCATATTGGTCCATACTGGTCCGTACTGGTCCATACTGGTCCATACTGATCCGTACTGGTCCATATTGATCCATACTGGTCCTTACTGGTCCATATTGATCCATACTGGTCCATACTGGTCCTTCCTG